CTCTCTCCCTCACGCCCCCCCCCCTCTCTCTGTGGGTATGAGTGAGCGAGTGAATTGTGTTTGGGGGTGGTTAGAGCTAGAATATGCATATTGCTCCGTGAATGCAACAGCGAAATACAGGCTGCACTGTGTGTTTGTATGGAGCATGTGTGTTTTTGTGCTAATGTTGGGGTGGGAAAGATCAAATATTCATGGGTTTGGTGCCACACTGATTGTGGTGAATGGGAAGGACTACTTTCGAAAGGGAGGGAAATACGAGAGTTTGTCCGAAATCGTATACTTTCAGAGTAAATACTATATTTGATATTATAAAAGTACTTTACAGTAAATAGATAGATAGATAGATAGATAGATGGATAGTAATCTATAATATAAAAATTATGCATCTATCAGTCTTGTCTTTTTATCCATTCAGCCAACGACCTGTCTATCCGTCCATCAATCTATCCGTCTATCAATCTAGCGTTTAATCTATCTATCGTTCTATCTGTTGATCATTTGTATTTCCCTGTTGTTCATTCTATCTATCATTCATTCTGTCTGTTGTTCAGGCAGTCTTATCTATCATTCTGTCTGTTGTTTGTTCTCTGTAGTTCTGTTTCTCAATCTGTCCGTCGGTCTTTGTGCCTGTCTGTCTGTCTGTCTGTCTATCATTCTAGTTATCAATCTCTCATTCTCTCTGTCCATCATTCGATCCATCATTCTATCTGTCGTTAGTTCTCTCCCTCTATTGTTAAACTATAGATGTGTACATGTGAACACAAAAGTTGTGTCTTTCCCTCTTATTCGTAGAGCATAGAGAAAAATATCTGTTCCTCTCCCTGAATTATGGAGTTTAGGTCTCCTGGCTTCCCCCTCCACATCTATTTTTAATTCTAATAGCATTTCTTGTGTCCCTCTGCGGACTCCCGTATGGATCCCTTCAAATGTCACTCATATTACAAATAGAGAAAAGGGCTTATGTCATCTCTTTTTCATAATGTGGCCTGAAAAAAAGGCTCACTCCTTGCCAGGTAAGTATGTTCTTGCTTGTTGCTGGGGTCTTGAGACTAGCTGTCAAGAGTTTGTGTGATTTCTTTGTTCCTCGCCTCTTTTCTCTCGTGCATATCAAAGGCTAAACCCATTATAGGCTGTAGCATGTAGTTGTGTTAGCATCAGCCTTCACAGGTTAATCATCCGAGGGGTTCGCGTATCAGATCTGCGAGTCAGTGTTTGGCTTATCGCGCCACAGTGCTGTTCACCCGCGTTCAGCTCAGCTCGCTTCTTATCAGCAGCTGGAGGTGTTACTCCCGCATACCTAAGCGCAGAGCTCCATATCGTCAGCCCATCTAAATGGGAAGAAAGCGTCCACATGTGTCCCTGCCAACCTCCACCCCGTCCTTCCAACCCTGCCTTTTTGTCTCTGATTACTGTGGAACATTTCCGTTCCCAGAGCTCCGGGACACTGATGGATTGACAGTGGGAGAGCGGAGACGGTCTCTGAATCACGCTCTTTTCGTTTAGTTTTATTTATGAGCTCGTGTCAGGCACGTACTTCAGCAGTGAACTTCAGAGAATGGCCTGTTCGATATCTGCCATCTGAGTAAGCATGTTTGTCACTTAATGATACTAGAGTGGGAAGATTTTTCTGAGGAAAATCGATTGATACACATATCTATTTGTTTTCGCTCGATTTGAATTCAAACGATGTGGCACATTCTCCCCTCTGTTTTCACTTCCTCTCTCTGCTTTTCTCTTTCTCTCTATCGAGGGTGAAACATTATAATTAGCTCTAGTTCTTAAAAGACCGTGTAAAAAATTGTTTGGCGAGTACAGTTTCTTTCCTGTGTTAACTTATTTCCTGTTGAAATATAAAGTTTTGAGTCAGACTTTTTTCTTAGTCAACTGCTTTTGCTTCGTCACAACCACGAGCATAATTTTTAAAAAATGTGTTTGAAGTAAGTCTCTTGTGTTTATAATTAGCTCTAGTTCTTAAAAGACCGTGTAAAAAATTGTTTGGCGAGTTTCTTTCCTGTGTTAACTTATTTCCTGTTGAAATATAAAGTTTGAGTCAGACTTTTTTCTTAGTCAACTGCTTTTGCTTCGTCACAACCACGAGCATAATTTTTTTTAAATGTGTTTGAAGTAAGTCTCTTGTGTTCACCAAGGCTGCATTCACTTGATCAAAAATACAGTAAAAACAGTAATATTGTGAGATATTAAAATTTTAAATAACTCTTTACTGTTTTAATATAATTTAAAATGTAATTTATTCGACTGATTGGAAAGCTGAATTTTTAGCAGTCCTTACTCCAGTGTTCAGTGTCGCATGATCCTTCAGAAATCATTCTGCTGATTTGCTGCTCAAGACCAACCAAATTGTCTATATTTGTATAAATATTTTTTGTAGCTGTAACATGTTAATTTGATCACTAATTTATAAATATCCTCAAAGCAAGAGGACAAAGTCACTAGGTTTCATTAGGTCCACCTGGCATGGCTAATATGTAGTATAGTTAAAGCATGGTGTGCTGCCAGCGTATTGGCCTCAGTCCTTGCTTACAATGGTGTGATGCCCTCCTGATTCTTATTCACGAATGGAATGGAGCCTGTGCCAAACCTCAGCAAGACTCAGCCAGGTCTCGCACATCACTGAACATGACGTTGGGCCACTGTTGAGTTTCTTCAGACATGTGCCACCAGAGTCAGCAAGTTACTTGTCACCATGCTGACTTTCCTGGAAATATGAACTATGATTTAGGCCTAGAACTTTTCCTCAGTTTCGTATTGACAGACTTTCCGAGGGTAACCATGACATCAGCCGTACCATCTGCAGCTTTGTGGCTGCTAGTCAAGCATCACGTGACTGTAATTCAGTAAAAGGATGCAGGTGCTTTGACTGAACACAAACTGCCTCTTACTGATTGTCTTCTCCATCTTCTGTTATTTGTGTGCGCTGTAAGTTTGTGTAAACGGTGAATTGCGTCTCCTCTTCCTGAGCTATTCATTCATCACAGCTGCAGTCTAATTAATGTTATTTCTCTGCTTGAAGATTATGAAACCTTTCTTTCATCTGTGTGTGTTTGTCTTCTCTCATCTGAGTTTATACAGGATGGATATTTTTAACCAAGTTTGATTTGATTGTTTGCCATGCCTTAAGATACGGTCACGTTTACAATTGTTCTGTGAATGTTCATGGGCAAAATCCTGTCACATGAGTAGGAATGAATGTGATTAAGCATTTAACAAGAGGGCGAAAGATTTCCCCCCACAAAATTCGCTGCAGGTCTGAGTGGTCAACGCAGCATATCCGTGTGCCTAACTCAAAGCCATAGCAAAATGTTGGTAATATTAGCGCACATTTACTTGTACTGTGGCAGCAACATTTTAATTCAGTTAAGACTAGCCTGAACTGGTTTGCTGGTCATAACTGGTCAGCCAGCTGATAAGTGCTCTTAACCTCTTTAAAAACTAGTCTAGGAAAGCAAGATCTTTGATCATTAAAAACACAAATTTCATAACACTCTTAAATATTGAGAAAATATTAATAATAAATTAATATTGAATTACATTATAATTTAATATATTAATTTTTTTTTAATTGTACTTTTCATAGTATTTATGTTTTTTAATTTATTGTTAAAATGATTGATTTTAGTGTTAACTGTTTTATTTTTAATTTATTTAGATGAAATAGTATATAATTTAACATGAACATGAATATAATGACCTCTTTTTACTTTTCTGTTAGTGTTATTTCTTTCTTTATGGATGTTTCAGAGCTGTATCCAGTTGATTTGGCAAACATTTCCCACCATTTAGACTGGAAAGTCTTTTGAGATACCACATTTGGCACATGATTTTAAGGCCCACAGATATATCCATGCGTGTCTGTGATTGCTAATGAGTTTTATTGATATGTGAGGGAGTTATTGTGTGAAGCTGTATAAGCCGGTGTTGAGAGTGTGTGGCTTGAAGTCAACCGTCTCCTGTGCTCTGCAGGTCAGTTCCAGTAAGGCAGCTGGGAACGCTCAGGCCAACCCCGCCGGAGGGGCTGTGGCAGGTGCTACGGGCACAGGAAGTGCTGCTTTAGCACAGGGTGATCTGGACCTGTTCAGCGAAACCAGCGGGAGCAGCAAAGCAGAGGACTCGGCCAAGAAACCTCTCTCCAAGGACTCCATTCTCTCCTTGTATGGCTCCAGCAACGTCCCACAACAGCCTGCACAAGGTACATCCATACCCCAGAGTCCCACTTTCTTATTCCTCAGAGAATAAGCGATCTGAGCGAGAGAATGCAGATCTCTAAATGGCGCTATGCATCCGGAGTCCATTTCTAATGGTGCTGTGGGAGTGTGTTTGTGTGAAAGCGAAAGCAAGCAAGGTTCTTGAGAAGCCCTGCTTTAATGGGAGTATCAATAATTCAAGCACTGCGTGTCTCAGCACTCTGATACTGCTGAACGTGGTTTAAAGCTGCCTGCTTCGCCTGCCCTACTCTCCAAAGAAGACATTTCCAAAAACCTCAGATGCTCCAAATGAAGGCGCTGCCAATTCTCCACCATCAGGACGATTTAGACGCCCCCTTTCATCCTGCACACCTCTTCTGTCTCAAAGATCCATTTCCTCTGGGCCGAGGCGAGGAACTGCACACATTAGCGCAGATATTGATCGCTCTCTTCCATCTCTGAAGCTTTGTGTGTCAGGGTCCTCTGGTCAGCTTCTGTTTTTGTCTCTTTGAACATATTGAACATGTCGTCATGTGTACATCTTCTTATTTGTGTACCTTTGTGCATTTCTGCTCCCACAGCAACTGCGATGTTCATGGGCCCATCTCAGATGCAGTTCCCTGCACAGCCACAGGGGAACTTCCAGGCCTTCCCTGGGATGGGAGGAGCCATGCCGCCCACTACTATGATGGGGGCCGTCATGGGGCAGGGCGGTGCTATGATGGGCCAGAATACGGGCATGATGGTTGGCATGACGATGCCTAATGGTTTCATGGGAAACGCACACCCAGGAGTAATGGGCTTGGCCCCAGGCATGATGGGACCTCAGGGCATGGTGCCCCCTCAAAACATGTATGCCATGCAACCAGGTCAACAAGGACAGTGGAATATGGCACAGGTATGTTATATTTGTAGGGAGATTCGCATTCGCCAGGAATTCATGTATGCCGAATGTTGAAAATAAATTATGTTTATAGTGAATGCCCCTATAAATGGTCTTATTTTTACGATTTACTTTTAATCCAAATGATGCGTGTGCTAAGTGAGGGAATATCAAAGATCACACAACAGAATTGCGCTCGTACACGCGCTCTCTCTCTCTCTCTCCCTACCGTTAAGTAACTTGTGCATTGTTTTACTTACTTGTTTTTGACATATCCGACCGAACTACAAACTTTCCAGTGATGTCTGTGAGAAAGGTATATTCACTCGACAAGCTCGCGCATCTGCGCCGCCGCGCGCTCAATCCACTCAACGTGCTTTGTTTATCAGCTCGCGCACATCAGCTATACAGGCGTTAATACTGAATGTTTAACATTATATTCATTGCATACATATACTTTGTAGACATCCTTAATCTCTAATAACTCCATTCTGCTGTCTGTTGTCGGTGTTTCATTGTCTGAATATGGCACTTAACACATGCTGTGTGGTATCGGCGTTTGGTATCGGGGCATTTTAATGAGTACGAGTGCAAGAGCTCAGTATCGGGCCCGATACCGATATACCAGTATCGGTATTGGTGCATCCCTATATATTTGGATTTGTGACTGTTAATGGTGCTGTTAGCAGTTTACCACATATAAAATGTTCCTTCAGTCACTGAAATAAGTCTCTTATGAAATCACACACGTCTCTGTGACAGCTCTAGGCCTATGAATGACATAAAGTACACTTTAGAAACATCCTATGCTATTTTAATTCTATGCTAGAAGTCCATTTGGTACATTTGGTTTGCTGAAATGCCTTTGAAGAGTGGGATTTTGGAGTGATGGCATGTGGTTCAAGGAATGCGGAATAGTTTAATGTTTAATAATATTTGTATAATATGTATTATATTATTACGTAATTTTACGTTAAATGTAAGTGCTATATTTACCTTATTTGTATCTAAATTTATGAATATTATTGATTATTAAACGGGTCATATGATGCGATTTCAATTTTTCCTTTCTCTTTGGGGCAGTTCTGACTCAGTCTGTAAGTACGTTTTCATTTAAAGGATTTGCCACTGATGATTCAAACGCGAGTTTTGGGCAGTGTGGATTAACGTTAGCACTTGTTGTTTGTCATTTCTCCGATCACAAATGCAGACATGGTTTTGTTTACGTGGCGCGATGCAACGCAATGCGTAAAAAGACAGTATAAGTCATTATAATCCGTAATTATGTCCCCACTGGATGCAACAAATGCCTCGTTTGTAATGGGTTTTAATGTTTATGTCTTGTCGCTCCGGCCGGACACGGCATCAACAGTAGGTGAGGGGCGTAACATTTCCGTCTCACGCTTGAGGTATTCGGCCAATCACAACGCACGGGATAGTTGGCCAATCAGAGCACACCTCGCTTTTTAGACCGATGAGCTTTGTAAAAATCGAGGCGTTTCAAAAAGGCCATACATAGAGGAGAAACAATAATGTACAGTATGTGGAAAATAATGTTTTTTTAACTTTAAACCGCATAAACACATTTCATTACACCAAATACACAAAATAATGTTCTTTTTAGCAGCATCATATGACCCCTTTAATATAAATAAATATTATATTATCATAAACATAATCATTACATTAAAAGCTTAGGGTAAGATTTTTTTTATTTGTTTATTATTATTTATTTTTTTTAAAGAAGTTACTTTTATTCAGAAAGGATGGCATTAAGCTGTTTAAAAAATGACAGTAAAGACATTTATAATGTTACAAAAGATTTTTATTTCCATTAAATGCTGTTATTTTGAACTTTCTATTCATCGAAGAATCCTATAAAAAATATATGTGTATGTATGTATGTATGTATGTATGTATGTGTGTGTGTGTCTGTGTGTCTGTGTGTGTGTGTGTGTGTGTGCGTGTGTGTGTGTGTGTGTGTGTGTGTGTGTGCTTGTTTGTTTGTTGAGCACCAAATCAGCATATTGGAATGATTTCTGAAGGATTATATGACACTAAAGACTGTTAATAGAGTAATATTATTGTTCTTACAGTATTTTTGATCAAATAAATGCAGCCTTGGTGAGACTACTTTCAATAACATTTAAATAAATCTTATTAACCCCAAACTTTTGAATAGTAGTGTACATTCTTAAAAAATGTAGGTGTCAATAGGAAGTGCTCATAGGATGGTACTCACATCTCATAAATAAATAGAAATATAAAATTACCTTTATATTGTATTATAAAGACAAGGGTGATCAAGATAAATGAAACTTTTAAGATTATACTGTTTTCCAGTGAGTTCCTTATGAAAGTCCTTAGAGTAAAGAGATTGTATTTCTAAGTTGGGTTAGTAAATCAGTCCACTAGTAAGCTCTTTGAATGCAGATAACACCTAAACTAAACAACCCTCTACAGTTGATCACATTGGCTAAACTGGAGTGTACGGCCTAAATAAGTGTTCGCTACATTGCACGAAGGAAAGAGTCTGTAATCTCTGGCAGCTACAAGAACCCATTGAGGAGGAAGCATTCAGGGAGCTGGCAAACAAATGATGAGTGAAACAATATCATGACATAAACAGAACCAAAATTATGTTGTGTGTGGGGAAAAAAGTGAAAAATGCCCTAATCACTTACTGTTGATGACAGTACACTTAAGTCACAAACCGGAGGTCAAGAGCTTCAGGTTAGGTTGATAATGTTCCTCTGGGGAATGTATTTTCAGCCAACCCTCTTTAGAATCTGCCATGAGTCATTGATATAAAAGTAGACGTTCATCATCATTGCAGCGTACTGGCTGCAGTGGATCAGCATCAGCTTTTTATATAGAGAACATCTATATCCGAAGCTATTACCATTCATCATATCCGACTCCAACAATGCATCCTCTGGTATCCACAAAGCTTTCCTTTTATTCAGATCAGATCTTTCACATTTTCAAAACCATTTCAGGTGGAAAGCGAGCTGTCAGTTTAGGTCTCTCTATGACTCTCACCGTATAATCAGAGATTCATAATAAGGGTTTTAAAATCCTCATCTAATCTGCTGTCACCTCCCATCTGCATGTGACTCATTAAAGATGAGGGCTCAGTGACTCCGACCTCTCAACTTCTATCATCTCCCTGCCTCGCCCCCTCCTCCTGTGGCCCGTGACCCCCTGTGTATGAGGCTGAGAGCAGAGGGAGTCCGAGATTTCAGCCTCCGGGAGGTTAATTACACCTCATAAATCAATACAGCATGCTTTACACTCACACGGCCTTAATTAAAATCCCTCCCCACAATGCAAGTGTGTGTGCGTGTCCTGAGTTACAGGCCTTCAGCAGCGCATTTGTATTTTGAGAGACCGGATGAGGAAAGAAATGCGTTTGCTTAATGGTTTATTTTTAATTTAGAGACTGACCGCAACTTCTCCGAGAGGTTTTTAGCATGCTGACAGTGGTTTAGTGTGCTGTTAGACTGTCAGCATGGTTTAAGGCACCTCTCTGCATTCATCCCCTCTAAAACACCAGCACTATTGTCATCAAAGTGCCGCTTGTGTCACAGATCCACCGCATTCAATAACATATTTCAAGATGATTACTGTCAGGCTTGGTGAACTGATGGTGTGCTGTGAGCAGTATTCCCGTTATCATCCACAGTTTCTTAGTGAAGAGATTAGTTTTGTGTAATAAAAGATTGTAATTATTTTAGCCTCTGTATATATGCCAGACAACCCACCGACTGGTCGATTTTGTAGTTCTGTACATGCATTGTCGACTTAGTACATCAAACTCTTATTTCAAAGAAAGAAAATCCCGTATTCCATTATATATCCTTTCGACAGCTGGATAAAGATTGCACAAACTTTAGTTCCCAGAATTCAAGTTAATAATGAAAAATAGGGGGCTTCTTATTTGAAACCATTAGTTTTTCTCTCCCTGCTGGATATGAGCTGTAGAGACAGCGGTATAAATCAGACAGACGTGTCTGATGGGCTGCCCCATCACCAGCGCACACCCCACAGGACACACTCCTCTACGCCGCTCTGCTTTCAGGAAGAATACTGGTGGGAGTCAAGGGAAAAGAGTAGAGGTATAGAAAATGAAAGAGAGAGAGAGGGAGGTAGAAGAAGAGTAATAAGAGGGGTGATGAGTTTAAAGATCAGAGGACAGCTTAGTAACCTGAAAAAAAATAAAAGAGGAAAAGGGAACATTGGAGGGAAAGGCCATCCGCAGGTGAAATGACTGGTCAGATGATTGTGTAAAAACACCACTTTTACTTTTCATGTTACTGTAGAAACTCCACAGAAACAAGTATATTTTTCTTTTAATACCAAAGCTCTGTTCCAGAACCTAGCAACCTTCATAGACAGCATTCTAAGAGTCATGTATCACTGTAAGTAACCAATTTAAAACACTCTACATAGGCTGTGCACCACACAAATAGTGCTCTACGAAGGAGACTATTTATTTAGAGTTTCCTGTTAGCAAACTGAAGGTGCAATACTCTAACAAGCATAAAAGTGTATAGCTCATGCAGATATTATAAATATTTTTATTTAATTAAAATGTTTAATTAAATTTTTATTTAAAAAAAAAACATAAATCAGAAAAATGTTAAAATTAAATATCTATGATAATATTTAAGAATATTATTTCTCTCCTCTTGTCTGCCAATTTTGAGGGGGGGTTTTTTCCCCCTTCTCTGAGCTCAATGCATTCTTGCATTTTCCGCAAGGGATACTTGTAATGATGGCTTAGATTCTAGCCAAATGCACTTTTCATAAAATCTTTTTTTGTTTGTAGAGTGTCCATGGTGCCTTATAATGCTTCCTCTGTAGGTTTTGGACCATAGCTAATTATGCTAACAAGTCTTGTGTATAATGATGTTTCACACTTCTGTCTCTCCTCTTGTCTTTTTTCAGATAAACCAACAGATGTCTGGAATGAACCTGAACGGTTCTGGTGCTCCAATGGCATTTGGGCCACCTGGTGCCCCCATGGGCGGCTGGGTGGCACCCCCCTCCGGTCAGACCCTCAGCACCCAGCTCTGGAAGTAAATGAATGAGGGAAGATGGAGGACAAGGGGCACCACATCCCTCCATCTCTCCTCTCCTCCTCCACCACTACTCGCACCCAGAGTTTTATTCATGTACTGTCATTTTTTTCTCCTTTCTCTTTCCAACCATACTCTGGAGAGCATCGATTCAACCTTCCCTGTTTATTGATCAAGTGAGCGAGAGTATGGAGTGTAAGAGACTGGCAGCTTTGAGCGTCTTATTTGCAATTTTTTTTCTTCGACTGTACAGCTGTGACGGCTAACGGAAAAAGGGGGCATTGGGGGTCAATAAAAAGTTTTAGCCAGCTAGTTTTGAAAAGTAGGGACCGATCAAAAGTGTGCAGTCGAACACGTCAGTCTCGCTGCTGTAGCAGAGCTTCTATCCTCTCAGACAGGGTCTCTCTGCTGTGCAATAATATAAACATCCCCACCGTGTCATCCAGGTTTATTTCTATAATGTGTTTACATTTTCTGGTGCCTAGTACAGAGACAGAATATTGTTATTTCCGTGCATTAAACCATGAAACTATTGTGACTATTGTGTGATCATTTTGTCTAAAGATGCATTTATTGTAAAGTTATTTTTTCCTTTTTTTTTTTTTTTTTTTGCTTTTAAAGAGGGTCGCTTGGAATAAAGACAGTTGTAATCCAAAAGTTCTGTCCTTGTAATAGTGTCTCACGCTTTAGACGGAATTTCCAGGGTTTTTCATCCACTGTTCCTTTTGTTTTCGTGGACAGTTCGATTCCCTTCAGCACCACTCAACCTCTCTGTACGTTATTCTAGCGGCTGGTCCTTTTCCTCCCCATTCACAGACATTGATCTGATTCTCCCGAGTGTCCAGAGTCTGCAAGATGGGAATAAGATCAAGTTTTTTCATGTCCAGTTGCCATTTGAAAACCCCTTATCCATGGTTTCTCCTCTACCACAATTCAGGTAATCCAGTGTGACGCCACAGTGAGAAGATTCAGCAGATACAGTGCATGTCAGTAGAGAATACAGAGACAGCTTGGCATGTCTTTTCCGCCAGAGCAGGTATCCTTAAGTTCAAAGGTGGCCATCGATTTGGAAAGTGCCGATGATGGCGGGCCTTCATCCAGTGATATATGACAGTCTTAGTCCAGTGTCAATCGCTAGACCTCTATATAGACCGAGTCCTGTTGCCGCTTTGGTTCGTTACCCAGGTTGACCTTCTCAGTGCGGGTATGCCAGACCAGGACCTGAAAGAAACCATTTGAAATCAGGTATTTAAGAATATGGGAACCAAGCACATGTGTATTGTATGTACCAAGGCAGTTTACTTGCATTACTATAAATAAGACTGCTCTTGAAATGCTTTGCCAACCTGAAATAAATGCTTTTTAACACCATTTGAGCCTAAAAAACAACATTTATGAGTCAGTTCATGTCATTTAAATGTTAATTTGACAAGCAGTTTATAAGATTTCTATATTTCCCCATTCAAGCAGATTGGAGTTGGTCTTGAACCCCCGAAAATAGCTGCCCAGAGGGGTTGCAAATATGGCCGCCGAGTGAACTGACATTCCTTAAATAGGATTTTGAAGGCAAAGGCACGTGCACAGGTACATCATAACAGAAAATAAGGTCATTGTGTGTGATCTCTCAGTGGAGATGTTTTAGGCTGTTGGTGCGTGAAGGGTGCTGGATTGGTATCTCTTAGACTGGTTCCATATCTTAATTATATCAGATAGAGGCAGTGCAGGGAACGAGCACAGTTAAATGGCCGCACCCAGGTGTGACGCGTCAGTTCCTGAACACATGGCACTGCAGATTGACTTGTTTTGCATAACAAGGCTAATTTAACAGAACCATAAGTGATAAATAAGGTGCACTGTGGAACAGCAACCCAGAAGTAAACCAAAGCGTCCTGTAGTGGCCTTATAACAAGATGTATCAGTCAGATGTAGATTCTCTAATAATGCTTCTTATGAAGGTGTCCGACACTTTACTTTGCTGTCTCCCGTTGTTCCCTTGATTAATATTACCAGGGCCCAATAAGCTGTAGGACAGGGCTTTATATGTGGCTAAAAGCATTAAGAACTTTAAGTCTGAAGGTCTGAGATAGACTAAATTGGAAAATTCCTGAAGTGAATTGTAATTGGTTTGTGGGTGGTTAAACTTCATTAGTTGTGTTTGTGTGCTGCTGTCAAAGATATTTGCAGAGTGATGTCTAATTGTTTATAAAAGGAAAGTAATAATACATGAAGAATTAATCTTGCTTCCACTTTCTTATGTAATAAATCCTTACATTTTTAATGTCGATAATGTATTGGCTACAACTCAGTGCATAACGGTTGAAAGCAGTGATATAACAGCAGTGTGGAGGTGTGAAGCCAGCAGTCCCCATGGGCTCTGGTAATTGTAAATGAGTTTCAAGACAAAGTTATTCAAATTTAAACCCTTCATAGTTTTTGGACTAATCTTGGAGCAGTCATGGTCTTTGCCTGTGTATCTATGAGAATATTGTAAGACAAGTGTAGATGTCATTGTCATTATTGCAATGTGTACCGAACTCTTGTTAAATACTCTGATAGACAGATTTCAATTTGTACAGAGAGAAACCCCACTTCGAGCGATCCAGGAATGAGAGAAGACACCTGGTCACCCTACTCCTCTTGATCCTGTCCTCCTTCTTCAATACATTGTTTTGGCTTTTAAAAAGGGAGGTTGATAGATGAAAACGCAAATAAATACAAGTAGAAAATTTGACCATTTTAGCTTCAGTAATATCATGTAATGTGTCATTTAGAAGACATTAACATTTTCATCAGGTGGACTTGGGATATTCAGATCCGAGTCCTCTCAAAACCTGAATGAATTAATAATAATTAATTCCCTACGGTTAAAATTAAGTAATCAAAGTCATTACATAGTTATATACAGTATATAGTAATTTTAATTTATATATATAATTTTTTAAACAGAAAACAGTTCTTTCAATTTGTAATCATATTTCACAGTATTAGTTTTTACTCTATTTTCAATCAAATAAATGCAGCCTTGGTGAGCATAAGAGACTTCTTTCTAAAACATTTTTAAAAATCCTCCCGAAATTTTGAACAGTAGTGTATGAGCTAACTAACAACAAAAAAAATTCTATGCTCTTTCTATTTATCTAGACTATAAAATTCATGTTAATTCATAATATATGTTAATTTAAACAACTTACATTGTAAAAAAAAAAAAAAAAAAAGCAGTATATGTAGAAATTAATATTAACACAGGTTAATAAATGCTTTTAAAGTATTCTTCATTGTTAGTTCATGTTAGCTATTGCATTAAGTAATGTTACTAATGAAGTACTAATATAACTAATGAAGAATCTTAGTCTAAAGTGTTAACAATAAATACACCTTAAAGAGATTTTCTACAAATAGGATAGAATCTTGCATGACATCAGATCTAATTGTTATAGCCTATAATTGTCAAAGTATTTTAGCTCTTAATAAATGTGAAGTACTCTCAGACCCATTGTGAAAAATGTCTGTGGATTCGGGCTGTCCCATATGAAACGATGTTAGTGTTGAAGATTCTTCCGAGGGTTTCTTTTGAACCTAAACAGGATGAGCATCTGAAGCCTTGAGAGAGAATAATCATTTGAGCGATTGTGTTGTGGGCAGAGTGAAGCATGCTGGCACGCTGACAGCAGTCTGGCAGGATCTGGTCTGCAGGAGCACGATTGAGATTGACATTAATAAATAGGAGAGTCTATGCACTGACTTCTGTAAATAAGCCTGTGAATCTCTCACACACCCTCTTCACCTCTTCATCTATATGGCATGTTTGCCATCTCTCTGCCAATCTCAAACATATTCCCTTTGCCCTCTTCTTCTTCCTTTCTCCCTCTGTCCCTTTCCTCCTTGTCATATCAGTTCAGTCTGATTACTCACATGAGATGACCCCCCTCACTCCTACCCAGCCTCCCTGTGCTTAATTTTGAAGTGCACGCTGGGAGTTGGCCATATCGCCCTGCCCACAGGCTTAGTCACAGTCATCCGCTGGGACCCTCAAGAACGCTTCTACAAATGTGACCTTTCCAAAAGACGTCGCTGGCAGTGCTCCACTTTGGACAGATGCCCGCTCACACCCATCACGAGGACCCATAACTGTTGGCACAAGCGCTTCCTTTTGTTTACTTCCATAATGCCATCCTCATATAATTGGACTGCAGCCACAAATGTAAGTATATTAAACTCCCACTTTGTCCAAGTAGCGACTTGCACTTCTTCGTAACTGTCAGTGGCCCTTCTAAGCCGTTTTACAGGTGCGATATCTACACGCTTACACCCGCCATGGCATTGTACCACAGCAACAATCCCGCGCTCTCTGCAGTCTGTTTACAATGCGCACGTTATGCTGTGTATGGCAAAATGACGCATAGCTGATTGGCTGACGTTGGAAACATGTCCTGCTCTTGCTGGTGCTGGTGATTAGTGGAATTGTCAGCCCTGCTAATAGTCACTATTAATAACCCAGTGTGGCTACCATTAGGGTAATTGGGTGATAATGATGATGGCAGTAGCCGTGACGTACGGTACGGGGAGGAAGAGAGCATTTTGACACGTAAGGTGAGCCGACTGAAGAGATTTCAGCTCCTGAGATAATGGGCCACGGATGAATGCAGGAGCTTTTAGAATCAGACCAAGTCAAATACTGTACATAGGAATGTGTTTTTCAGTTTCAAGAGCTCCTTGACAGTGCTATTCACTATTGTCACTGGTAGAAGAATAGATCGCCGTACAAAGTTAGGTTTTCAAATTGGTACCAAAAAGATAGGGCTGAGTCATAATGCCCAAACTAATGACTCAGACTCAAGAGAGACTAGGAACAAATACAGAACATCAAAAACTAATCAGTGTGAAGGATGCAAATGCAGGCTTCTCTACTGACCTGTGTACAGTTCTTGGCCTTTGGCTCCAAGTCCTCCACCTTGGTGATCTGTTTGAGAAAATCAGACTCTTGCATCCCTGGTTTGGCTCCTCTTCTCTTGAACAGGGCACGTGGGTTTGACAGGATCACCTGCAGGTTCACTGCAAAACCTGCCAATGACAAAAAGGTTTGCAAGCAAAATCAGATATTTGAATTAAAAAGTATTTATTTTATTACTTTTTCCTCTTTGCTGCTTTTGATGTCATGGCTCATGATAATTATTAGTGAAGAGTTTGGAAAGAAGTGCGTGCCCTTGAGCCGTGATGGCAGATTGCAAAATACTTACTTCCAGGGGTTGAGCAACTGCCATTGAGATGAATGGGAATACTAAAAGATAGCTTTCTCTAGGTATTATAGACCTCGTTTACAAGTGTGACAGTCTGGGTTTCGCACAAGCTCCAGAAATCGGACGCAATATAAATCAAAAAGCTTACAGACCTGCCATTGTTTATTGCAAATTCATCTAAAACGAATTATTGTGCAGATAATCTCATTATATATTCAAGCACACTCTCTCATTTACGCTGTATTAGCTATACGCAAATACACAGCTCTTCAGCTTGCTCTTGACCTTATGCATTTCTCATGGGAGCAGGTTGAACCGTCCCACTGCTGCATGTGGGTCAGGATAAGTTTTTCACCCCCTCGTTTCCATTTCTCTCGATGACACCGTCTCAGCTACAAAACAGGATAGAAAAGGACTTTTCAAATTTTACTGTAGGGAATATCACCCTCTGTTGTGGGCTTTTTATCCTGGGCACAGGCTGTCTTCTAGGACGCCTGCATTCTAGCTAAAACCACCTGGGCTTCCCTCAAATCCACAGAAGAGAGCTCACGACAGCAATGCAATGTTCATCTAAGCCCTGGCTAACTGTGTTTTTGTGTAGCTACAAGTTTTCTCTCCCTCAGATCGACATGCATACTGTCAAGGTTTATTAATAGTTGAAGACCAGCCAACTCCTTTCTTTTGATCTTTTTTTCTTTTTTTAATGACTATGTTGCCTTTTGATGTCCCTGTTGGATTATTGGGAGAATGATGTAAGAACCTATGTTTAGAGATTCAGGGACATGGCTTTGATACAGCTGAAGAGCCGGACATCTTTGTGCTGTTGCACCAACAGCACTTCAGGGACCGGCTAGTTGTGCTGCTGAGTTAAATGCATAAACAATGTAGTAAACCCACCCTGAACATTCACATCCTGATATTTAAACCAACTTTCATGAACAGGGTAGGGTTGCACCAGCCTTTTGTAAGGTTTTTAATCTGGATGGCTTTCAAATCTGTAAATAGAAGTGGTGCTGAAAAGCTGTTTGTTTGTTTATTTATGTTTATGATTGATAAAACCCCCTCAAAACTATCAATTTCTCGGGAAAATATTATACATAAATCATGAAATAATTCGTATATTTAAAAATGTAAATCATATTAATGAACTGTCTAAAATTAATAAGGGACCGTAAGTAAATATACAACAATCTGTAAAACTGAAATGGTGCACTTTTTACATTAGTTTCACTAACAATTCACTTATTTACATAAAGTTATACGTCAAAAGGATTGAATTCTGTTAAGGTACAATATAAGCTCATTGATGTAATTTAATCAGTCAGCTGTTTTATTCCAACTGTTCATGCATACACCGCTGTTCAAATGTTTATGAAATTTGGGTAATTATTATAACGACACATTAAAGTTATTAAAAGTGACATTTATAATTTAACATTTTAAATATTACAACATAATTATATTGTTCTTTAGAACTTTCTATTCATCAAAGAATCCTAAAAAAAAATGTATCATGGTTTCCACAAAAATATTAAACAGCACAACTCTTTTCAACATTATTGACCAAAAAAGTAATGGCTGCTGAAGATTCAGCTGTGCATCACATGAATAAATTACATTTTAAAATAGATTAAAATAGAAAACTCTTATTTTAAGTAACTAATATAGTGTAATAATACTGTGTAATAATATTTCACAAAATTACTGCCTTTACTGTATTTTTGATCAACGAAATGCAGGCCTGGTGAGCTTCAGAGACTTTTTTTTTTTCAAAAACATTAAAAATCTTACAGACCCCAAACTTATTAATGGTAGCGTAGATTCAAGTTTAGTGGCGCAGTTCTCAAATATTTAGTAGTGTGCAAATTGTAGCATAGTGTCCACCACTGCAAAGCAGCTTTTAGAATGATGTAATGAGTCCATTTTATTATTTTAGAAATATTTGTAAAGTAAAATTCTGGCGGTTCAGGACCTTTTCTCTGCTATTGTGTTTGCTCTCAGAAGAAGCCGTACGGCAGGAATACTAAATAACTTCATTGTTCTCAGCTTTTGTTCAGGGAGAAGTGTAGTAGAGCAGGCGGATTTATGAACCTTAAACAGCTCCTAGAACGTGCATTTAGTCTACGGCAGCGATGTGAGGAAGCGTATACATTGTGTGAAGTGTTTGCGAAGGGAGATGTGCTCACTGTCAGCTTGACAATGAATACATTATCTCTGATGACAATGATGATGATATTATGGGTGAGTGAACACATGTGAAGAATACAAGCTATGGAAGAGGAGCAATAGTGGTAGTAACGGGGATCACATGAGCAAGAGATGATACCATCTCTTGTTATTGAGTTTCATGAACAGCATAATATCCAGCGGCAGCGCTGGAGTCTGGGGAATTAGGGATTGCTTCAACTACGCACTGCTATCTCTGACGTTGTATTCATTCCCTCGAGCTGCATATGAGCCCTGCCTCTCTCCATTAGGATGTTTCCAACCTGTCAGCATCTTCTCACCCTCCCTCTTTAATGCATTGCCTGAGAGCTCACGTTTGCTAAAAATGCACAGAGAAATGGCTGAATTTAGCTTCGGTAAAGGTGCTGTTCGCCAATTATAGGGAGCAGAGAGCGAATGGATGCCCCGTCACCTCACTTCTACCTAAAGTACAGGGTACCCGTTATCTTTTCCTACCTGTTATGCTTTGTAATAGTGTGTAATTTATTTTACACTGTTGAAATATAGTTTACCATGAAAACATAAGTAAGCCATTTAAAAGCTGATTTCCCCAAAAAGTGTAAACACAGATGCTTTTAAACATCCCTGTTTGGGAATCCCGACCAGCCTGTCAACTTCCAAATTACTTTTAGTCATTTAGCAGATGCTTTTATCCAAAGTGCCTTAAAAATGTGGAACATCACAAGCAAATTTTCAGAAGAGCCAACAATATTTGCAGTACATTGCCAAGTGCCAGGAGTTATTATAGGAAGTGCCTTTGTTTATGGTTGTGCTTTAGTTGAGTGCTTGTGGAAGAAGTCCCGTTATCTTTTCCTACCTGTTATGCTTTGTAATAGTGTGTAATTTATTTTACACTGTTGAAATATAGTTTACCATGAAAACATAAGTAAGCCATTTAAAAGCTGATTTCCCCAAAAAGTGTAAACACAGATGCTTTTAAACATCCCTGTTTGGGAATCCCGACCAGCCTGTCAACTTCCAAATTACTTTTAGTCATTTAGCAGATGCTTTTATCCAAAGTGCCTTAAAAATGTGGAACATCACAAGCAAATTTTCAGAAGAGCCAACAATATTTGCAGTACATTATAGGAAGTGCCTTTGTTTATGGTTGTGCTTTAGTTGAGTGCTTGTGGAAGAAGTGTGTCTTCAGCTCTTTCTTTGAGGCTCTGATGGTCTCAGCAGATCGGGTGGAGGTTGGCAGCTCGTTTCACCAGAGAAGAACAGAGACTGTGAAGTTTCTGGAAAGCCACTTAGATGCCTGTTCACACTACAACGATTGTACTTAAAACAGAAAAGTTTTTCCTATGCATTTCTGAAAGGTTTAGCGTACAGACGACAACGTTTGACAACAACAATCTCCTAAATGAACACAGTTCATACGGATCCGTGAAAATGACTAAAAACGCTGTATGCATGCCAGGCCAGTAGTTGGAAATGTCACTTTGTAAAGAAACACTGTACTCCTGCGCACATATGCATTCTTCAAGTACGGACTCGCGCACGCCTATAGACTGAACGCATAACACGTATGAGCATGACATCAGCGCTTTCACAAATGAGCATTTCTATAGTTGTATATGTTTCTATAGTATGGAGACAGTAAAAAGTTTTCTATTTTTAGATGAAAATGGTTTTGTGTAAACTCTCCCTTTGTACCTTGTTGTGAAGAAAGGATCAGGTCCTGCATGTTTACTCACAGTAAGGGGGAATGTACGCTTACAGTATTTATATTTTAAATTATTTTATTTTTATATATTTTCAGTAATTTTATGTTTTTGCCATTTTTATTACTTTTTTTGTGTGTTTGTGTGTGTATATATATACACACATACATACATGCAATTAGATATAAATATAATTAGATTTATTTTTTAGTTTTAGTAATTTTAGTACTTATTTTATAAGTACTATAACTTATTTTATTTCAGTAAGTTGCCAAGGTCATTTTTTTTTTATTTGTAAGTTATTTTTAATCTAATATTTATATTTTATTTTATTTCACCTTTATTTCAGTTATTTAGATTTTTTTTAATAGCGTTACTTGGCGTTAACATTAACAAGCCTGGTACTTGGTGCCTTCCCTTCGTAAACATTGACATAGCTGATCTAGCTCGTATCACTAGTATTGTATAGGAAAAAAGCTTCTTCAGAAGACTCTCTGGTGTTTCACAGCTTTTTTTCCCCCTCAGCTTAGAGCGCTCCTTTTGCATGGTCTCTCTATATAGGAACCGCTTTGCTGCCTGCTTTGGGCCATTTTTATGCCTGTTTGAAACGACTTCAATGAGGGGCAGTCTGGAAAGTAACTGCAAAGAAGTCCCATCTGCTTATCTGTGCAGGCAAGCTGCTCCTCACACAGCTGATGTTGTGATTATCAGCAGCACATGGTATAATATGGGCAGAATATCCTTCAGAACACAGAGAAGATGGACAGAGATATGGATGGCGGAAGTTCAATACCTTAATAACATTAAATAGAATTGAGAGACCTAGTGGTGAAACTTGAAGACATAATGCCCCAGCTAATGTTGTTCTGCTTCTCCAATACTTTTAAGACATTTACAGTAATAACTTCAGTTCTGAACTTTCAAAATGTCCTAATCAGTTCCGTTGATGGATAGTTATTTGGTCACAGTAGCTCACCTGCAATGGCACGTGTCATGGTTTGATTCATAGGAGAACCAGCATACTGATAAAAATGTATTATCTTGAATGCACTGTAAATCACTTTGGATAAAAGCATCTGCCTAATGAATAAATGTAATTTAAATGGAAGCTTTCAGATGGGCATGGTGTAAAAAAAGAAATGTGTTACGCGTTTTGCACAAATTAGTTCTGGAATTCTAAATCAACTGGGTTGACGGAAAGTGCAAGTTAACAGAAACCTGTTATTTAACCAATGGAATCTCTTGTCAAAAATCTTTCTTTGTCACTCAAGGGAGTGGGCCAGATCATGTTCAGGGCCTATGAATATTTGAAATCCAGAAATAGATATTTCTAAGAACTGGTCAAGCAGCCTTTTTAAATGGCTGCTTAATCTGTAACACTAAACCAGCTATAAAAATCCCATTGTCGTGATGCAAAGGATTTTTCATGTCTAAGGCATAGTTTGTTGTAGTTGTTGTTTTTCAGGCTGCTCATATTAACCATTTACAGTGAGTTGTTTCAGCATTGAGTGTATTTTTGCCTCGTAGGCAGAAAATGCACTATAAACCGATTTATCAATACAGCTTTTTATAAAGCAACATAAAATAATTAACTGACAAATTATTTTGTAATTTAAGGTGGTTTAGGTTGTTTTTTATAGTTTTCAATGGTACACTCCGATAACCATTTTATAAAAATAGAATGCAATAACCTGGAAATCAGTTAATTGTCTGTAATTTTCTGTTATTTTGAGATGCGGTTCGGTTACACAGCAGAAATGCTGTCAGTGTGAATGCATGCTTTTGTGTTAACGTTTCATCCTGCACATAGTGTAAAACAGGCATAATTGTCACACATTCAAATATATGTGCCTTTTTTTCCTGGTTAGGTAACAATGTTGCAGCAAGATTTTTATAAACCATTATCGTTCAGATTTTTTGTATTAATATTCAGTAAAAAATTCTAGTGGTATTTTAATGACCGTGCATGTTCTTAAATGAAATCTTTTCAAGAGATCTTAGTGGTGTCTTACCAGCCATGTCAATTGCAAATGGCCTATCGGCCTTCCAGCCTGTGTACCAGCCGACCACTTTCCCCTCTTCCACTAAGGGCCGCTCGTACCTCCGGCCTCCAACGAGTCCCACCGGCCACACTGACACTCTCCTGGTTGACCGCATCTGAACAGTCGAAGGCAGAGCAACAGTAAATATGATAATATTACAAACCCAATCCACCAAAGTTATCATAAAGAATTGCAGAGTTTTGTTGTGCACCCTCCAGTCGGTTCTTTGGACCTTTATACTGCTAACCATATGCAGTACTTAGTCTATTATTATTATTAAAGGAGCAAGTGTAGTACCGTCACACACAGAATGGCTTATTATAAAATCCTGGCTCATTTTCAGCATAAATAAGTCCGTCCACCTGCAGTCTGCTGGAGACAGCACACATCGCTCTTCAGTTTCATAAACACCATCATATCTGACTGAACCACCCGCCAACACTAAAACTGACATTTCCAACAAGATACCATCTTCCTTGAGGAATTTTAAACGTCCTACTGCTGAAAGAATCTTGTTTTCCCTTCATTCCTTCATATATAATAAAAATAAAAATGATTTGCCACTGGGGAAATGAGCGTTGCTGCAATTTCTCAAACAAATGGTCAGAGTAGCCTTTGAATATTTAATGGTTGTTCTATTTATGTGAGTGCTGTACGCAGTCGGGTGACGTGCCTGTGGCTGGCGGCCGTAAGCAACGGACAAGCTTTGAAGCCCAGACTGCTGCCCCTTTAGCTGTATTTCTAATGTCTGTCTTCCTCCCTCTCTTCAAAGGCTTCATCTCCATAATGGTGCTCTTAAAGTCTAACACCGCTCAAAAGCCAAGTCAAAGAATTCTCCATAGCAAAGAGGATGTCATCTGCAGGTGCCAAGCGTCCTTTTGCGTTGAAGTTGACAACAAGGGCAACAGGCACAGCCATCAAATGCAATGTCACATACACTGTTCTTTGAGCTGAGCTCTCAAGCTACAGGCGGCTATGGCTAGGCATCTGTATTTGGCAGTTTTTGTGACCCATGTGTTTTCCTGCAGGGACAGGGAATATGAAAGTCTGGCCCCATTTTGACAACGTGGTGCAGAGAATTCAATTTGTACTAGACGAGTGTGTTCGATATCTTTAGGGAGGTAAAATCACCTTCGATAACAAAACTCTACATGCTGCCTGACAGTTCCAGAGAGGATTCAAACAATGCAACAACAAAATTGGATCTAGTAAGGAACTATATTTCTAAGGAAAGACAGGTTACAACTGAGAATAATAAATCTAATGCAGAATTTGCGGTGATGTGGCGTGGCACCAAAGCCACAAGGCAGAGTAGGAGAATACATTGTATACTGTACCACGGAAATCAAAATATGACTTTATTATGACCATGTGCTGCCGATACATACTCGGCACAAAATGACATTGTAACACTTTTTTTTTAATTAGCCTTTTTAGACTTGCTTTCCAGTTACAATATCTGAAAATCCTTGAAATGAGAAGCAACACTGCATCTGTATTAGGTATTAGGATAAAGGTAGAATAATTGATGATAAATGAGACGATGAGCTATAAGTGCAGGGTTTGGACAACAGCCACAATACTACAATAAATGTTATTTTAAAGTGCATTTTATTTTCATTGCACTGACTTTAAACTTCAAACTAAAGAAAAATTGCCAGTGCAGTAGGACAAAATGTACAGTCTACGAAAACAAGTCTTGTATCTTGTTCTTATATATTTTAACTGTAAAATTAGTCAAAAAACATTTTTTGCAGTAAAGAGGTGATAAAGCAACAAGCGATAATCCGGGTTTTTGTCCTATCCGACTACAACAAGCAATGCTACATTTCACTGGTTGTTCGGTTTTATTTCATTAGCGCTGTTCTCGCTAAAATCTCATTGGACTTAAAGGGATAGGTCACCCAAAAATTTAAATTCTGTCTTCATTTACTCACCCTTTGTCATTCCAAACCTCTGTAACCTCTATATTTAGAAGAATATTGGTAACTAAACAGTTTCAGTTCTCATTGACTTGCATTGTATGGACCAAAAATACAATGGAAGTCAATGGAACTCCAATTTGTTTGGTTGCCAACCCAAATATTGATCTGGTTATTGTGTTCAGCAGAAGAAATACATAAATACAGGTTTGGAACGACAGTTGAGTAAATGATGACCGAATTTGAATTTTTGGTTGGATTATCCCTCCTTGTACCAAATACACAAAATAATGTTCTTTTTAGCAGCATCATATGACCCCTTTAAACATAAACAAGGAGAAAACAAGGAAGTTGTGGATATCATACAGTATGACCCTCACGTTTCACATGGAAAAACTTGCAGTCTGATAAAGCTCCATATTAAACATGAAAATACAAGGTATGTGTTCTTTCTTGTAATGCTCTTCAGTTGTGTGCCATTGTGAATGTGAGAAAGAACGCAAACAAAGATGGTTCTGATTGGCTGATTCGTGATCAATTATACCATGCTCCATTTTTTAGTCTGACAAATTGCTCGTCATTGAAAACTTATTTTTTCTATCCAAAAATAATAATGCATGTTCTATTTGTGTGTTTAATGATAAAACTATTTCCGCTCAAAATCTTTATGGTATAATAATCTTCCCATACTTCACTCAGGCACTAGAACTTGATCACTGTACTTAAAAAAAAACTATTGTTTCACTGTTGCTGTGTCACATATCTGTACTAGCTTGTACTTTTCTAGTCAGTTTTGAGACTTTGCATTGCAGTTCTTCTAAGTTACTGTCGCCTGAGGATGAATCACTCGAGCTGTAGCATTTCTCGTTGGGGAAAACAGTATGTGCTAAATGAATACATTTCCTATGTGTCATTAATATTTGTCATTATGAAACACTAGCTGTTGAAAGAGGCCTGAATGACTCTCAGTGTTGTGCTGTGTAATGTGTTCGTGTTAAGCAGAGCAGGGGTCATCAGCATAGTGACACTGCGCTCTACCCCTCAGGGGCTGTTCCATGTGTTCATCCACATGTCCAGCTGTGTTCTGGAGAAATGGAGAGAGAGGGAAAGAGGCAGAGGGAAGGATGCACAAAGCAAGCATTGAAGAAATGAGGAGGGCAGTAAGGCCGGTGGCAGAGGAAAAGAGAACGGCTTAGACAGGAGGAAAAAGCAGAGGTAGGATAAAGGTAGAATAATTGATGATAAATGAGATGATGAGATGAGATTTTGTGTTACTGTAGATTGGATGGAGAATGTAATGCAGAGGAAGAAACCTCTTCTGTCCTCTTATCACTCGACTGCTGTCAGCTCTCTGGTGCCATTTTTATGCTTTCCAACCAAATAAAAGAAAAGTCCAACCATCAGACATCAAGTAAAGCAACACATTTACATGTTAATTCTTAAATTTCTACGCTTTGGTGGCTAATTTATTTGAATTTGTACATTTTCATGCAGTCTTCTTACACCCTACTGATGGTAAATGTATGGGTAGAACTAGTAAAATAGTTGTTTTCTCATGCGATTGGCTCAACTAACAATGAAAATTCTGTCATCACATGTGGTGTCCATGTTGGTCAATCTCCAAAAAGGATTTAAAAAAAAAACACCATAAAATAACGTTAAAATTGGTCCATATGACTTGTGTACTACATTTGATATTGCATGCTGTACTATCCATCTTATTTTTCAATGTGGAAGTAAGCCATTTTCTGTGAATGTGTGAGACTTCCGATTCATTAGCCGCTATAGGGAAATAACGAGAAGAACAGTTTCAAACAGCATAATGAGCTGTTTTGTACAGCTAAAAATAAAATGTAAAGTTCTTACATTAAAAATGCAAACTACTTTAAAATTTCTCCTTTTCCACTGAAAATAAATAAATAAACAAATGACTGCATATGGGTTTGGAATGACATGAGGGTAAATAATAATATTCATTTTTGAGAGAGCTACTCCTTTAATCCTACTGCTTACACTCTTATAATTACCAGAATCCAGCTGACTTGATCAAAAACATATCTTGAAGAAATATGTGCAGAATTGAAAAGGTTTTTAATATATGCAAGACATAGAAAAGCGTAACCTGTCTCCACTCATCACTTCGCTGTGTTATCTGTTTCATCCGTCGTCCACGGACAACCGTTTAAACAGACAAATCCTAATTTCCCAGCTGTCAGGTCACTCTCTCATTTCTCTGTGACTTCCACTGCCTCAAACTGGGATAATTCACTCTGCTTGGCTACACAGTATACTGGGTCACCTTAACTTAAGGGATAGTTCACCCAAAAACTGAAAATTCTGTCGTAATTTACTCACTCTCAAGTTGTTTTAAACCTTAATTCGTTTCTTTCTTCAGTTGATCGTAAAAGTTATTTTGAAGAATGTGGGTAACCAGACAGTTGCTGGTCCCCAGTGGCTTCCATAGTATGTTTTTTTCCTACTATCAAAGTCAATGGGGACCAGCAACTGTTTGGTTACCCACATTCTTCAAGATTGAGTAAATAATGACAGAATTTTCATTTTTGAACTCTCCCTTTATGTGCGTCAACTGCTGCACTTTTGAGACACATAAGAAATAGATGGCACTGGTGTGATAAAACACATTGCATGAATGTCCATGGGGACAGATGTCACAGCGAAGTCTCCTGATGCACTGCAAGTTATTAATTGCCACCTTTTTATATATATATATACTTCACCTTTTTAATTCAGAAACCTTGTGGAGTACCAAAAAATCTTGTACAATGACAATATAGAGGTTGAATTGACTTTAATTGCTGCATTATATTTTTAGGTTTTCAATTTTATTACGTTTTTACAGTGCAGGTTCTCAAGGCAACTACTGTAGAGGCAATGGATTGTGTCTATATATCACACTTTGTAAAGCATGTAGATCTACGCACCCCACTTATAAATTTATTTTTGTTGGGTCTTATAGATGCTATATTCCGTTTGGTGGAAAAAATAAGATGGGCATATATTAATGTGCTGCTTCTTGTGGAAAAAGATTAACACATCCTGCACCATTTGAGTAGACATGCATGACCCTTTTCAATGGGTCAGTCGTAGGCCTATCATATATCAGGATCAGAATATCGAAGAGACACTGTGGTGGGATTTTTATTTTTGACCGGGCCCAACAAGCAGATCGTAGCAACACCCTAGCAACCGTATAGCAAACCCTGCCATCTAAAAAACAGAATTCATATAGATGCATGGCTTGGACCAGTGTGGACCAGCAGAGGTTTCTTGAGAACCCCAGCCATATCTCTGTCTAGTTGGCACTATTTGCCATGATGTAACATTTCTATTTGCATTGCTTTTCTAACCAACTATACTTTATTTTCATTTTTCAGATTTCATATCAATCCTTACTCGTCTAAGTAGAATTAAAACAATAGTCATCTCAAGAAGTCGTGTTTACCTCTTCAAATAACGCAAGGCTGTACGTGTTATCATCATCTGCGAAGAAAACGACTCCTTTATCTTTGACCGAGCGATGTCCTCTCAGCCAGCCGAGCGCTAAGTTCCTCTGCTCGGTCGCTCGGGGCATCCCTGTCCGCTTGAACCTGCGCGGAGTGAACACGTTCAGGTGAGTGTATCGCAGCCCAGAGCGGGCGAGAAACCGAGAAACCAGCTCCGTGTGGGAGTTCGAGTCCTCCACCACGATCCAGTGGAACCGCGGAACCTGGCGGAACGTATTTGCCAAGCGGGTGAGCTCTGCTTTCTGCACCGCTCGGCTGTAAGTAGGAGTGATGGCATAAATGACCGGCAGAGATGTGGCGTTACTCCCGCTGCTGCTGCTGGTGGTGGTGCTGCTGCTGCTGCTCCGAGTCGTCCTGACGACCTGCCGCTGCTGCTGCACATTTCCCAGCCGAGACAAATAAAAGCTGGCCGTGTTCCGAACAGACAGCCTCTTCGTATCGATGTCAATCACGATGATCACTATCAAGATCCACGGAAGAAGGATGAAAAAGCGAGTGTAGAAGATGGATTTCATTGTGCCCGAAGAACCAGCACAGCTTAATGTGAAGAATTAACAGTCCGCCACAAACAGAGTTTGTGCCTCATTCAGAGCCGATTATTGAATTATTGCAGATTATTCCTTTTTAAACTTCCTTTAAAGCCATCCCTCGCGTGTTTTTTAGCCAGTATCCGCAGTCCACGAACGTTTAAACTTCCCATTCCCGTTTCCTAAACGCACTGTTGCGATGCCATCCCGTCCTGCGCTCCGCCAGAGAGTCCGTTCCCTGAGATGATGCTCCCGATAAATAAGGAGTTTTCAGTCGTTCAGCGCAGAGAACAGTGCCAAAATAACAACAGGTCATTGTTTTAGGCACGTGCATAGCTTGGAGTGCAATAATTTCATGTAGGTGTAATGATTACTCAAAACTGCATCGAATGATGGGACTGAGCTGATGGTCCGACGCTGCTGTAAATCCGTTGAAATGAGGAAGACAGAGACTTCAAACTGAGATTTCACCCTCCCCACCTGCGCACTACAGAGAGCGAGATAGGAATCACTTGCATTGTTGTCTGTTTTTTGCGCGATAGCAGACTTTCATGTAATATTCACATATTTGTCTGTCAGACATGAGTACGGTTTAATTCTAATCTGTAAACGAGTGCAAAGAGGGCTGTTGTTAGAATTTACTCAGCTTGCAAGGCAAATAGGTAACATAAATGTTTTTTTATTTTTTTATTTTGTGCTTGAATTTATTGTGATCAAAATTACTTCCCCATCCAAATTCGTTTTAAAAAATTTAATTCTGAAAATTTGACTATTTATTCACTTATATATTTAGTTACATCATGCTGATAATTATTAACTTATTAGTAGTCATTGTTAAACAAATGTGAAATTTGTTCATGCCATAGTCTTTATTGAACAAATTCCACATTTCCGTTTGTTCCAGAGGGACTGTCAGATATCTGAGATTCCATTAACAGAAGGTGTGTCTGAATGTCATGCTCATGTTCATCAAATAAAAGAACATTTTCATTTGATTTCTGTGTGGTTTTCTTTTATGTTGCTATTGTATATAATTTGCAGATGTCTTTAAACACCATTTAATAAGATATCTGAGTATGTAGACTATATATGTTGATGGAAACTGCTAGCCAAAGGATTTTTGTTCTGTTGATCAATGTAAAATGCAACTAAATTAATATTGCTTAAAATGGCAATTAATTGTCAGCTTGTGTATGAAGATCCTGTGAAATCCATCCTCATTTTTCCACATCAACAATATGATTGACTGAAAACTCAATCTGTTGATGTTCATTTGCTTCAGGCATATTCCCATCTGTAGATTTAGCAGATCACCTGATGGCATAAACAAAACATCCTGATGCATGACTAACAAGGTAAAAAGCAACATGGCATTTGGCACTTATTAGATTTAACAGTCAACATTGTAATCAAAATGGTTGACATATTGCCAGCAGGCTTTTATGATGTTCATTTCAGCACTGGCGTGTCTATTTGACTGTCCTGTGTCTCCATTCACAGTGCAATGACAGCAATGGATTGTGACATCCAGCCTTGTCCTCCCATCCTCAACATGCCACAGACAATGTCAATCACAGAAAATAGAAGCAACTGTCAGAGACGCTATCTCATTGTCGGCACCCTTTTGTTGTAAATGACTGAAATCTGACAGGTAACAGTGGCTATTGTTCATTTCATTGCATCTAGAATGAAAGAAAAGCACTATGAAGTATAAGGAGAAGCACAATGGTTATGGCCTGATTATTTAAGAAACAAGCTTCAGGTCTTGGATGTAATGGAATTGATCCACAGTGAACTGTTCTATTACATGGAGCAAGTGTTTTTTTTTCTCTATTTGTGAGAAGTGAGATGAGATGAGATGAGATGCGATGAAATAAGGAAGATTTATGCTGTTCAGAAGGAACTAGAGACGCTATGACACTTAAAAAAAGAAAATGGTGCTACTGTGCATTTTTGCAGTCAATCTAATCTGGTAAGCCTCCCATCTTCATTCACGCTGATGACGCTTCGCAGGAGAGCATGGACTGGACTATTTAATGGCTTTCAGAAGTGGGGGAGGAGGGAAAAAAGCTGTTTATTGATGGAGAAATATCCTTTCAATACTCATGCATGCTGTTGAAGCCAACAGAATGCAATAACAACCAATTAAAGCGCCCCATGAAAATAGATCACAGCACAACTAGATCAAATGATAATTTAGGTCTCAATTCAATAAGAGTGAGGCAAAGCAATTTAGATCTTCACAATAAGCAGGAAATATAGAATGCATTTGTCAACACCATTTGCATAGAAATGACTTTTCATCACTTTCCATTATTGTGTGAATTCCGCTTGAGCCAATACATTTTCTAAACATAACTCAATGGAATCAATTGGTCTGGACTGGAGTTAACAGCATTAGGTCTCTGTTCTCGAAACTACAGAAACAAATTGCTGTTGGACTTTTTGTCAACTAAAAATCGAAGCATTCAAATAGTTTCACTTGTTCCAAGCCTAATCTAATTTTCGAGCGAAGTGCATCTAATGTTTCAACCTGATAATGATTTGTGTTTCCAATTCTGACACCATTTCAGATGTACAATAAATTGAGTTTTAAGATGTACAACAAAATTGGCTTAATAGCTTAAATGCCATAATAATTTAACCGACTTTGTTTCTCACAAGCTTTAGTGTAAGAACAGCCATTTAGCTCCAAAATGTGAGTATGTGTGTGAATAATTTCCAGAACAGAGTCAGATGTATGCTGGTCATGCAACCAAATCTCTAAATGACAGAAGTAACTTTGCAAGCTTTTTCATTTCAAGGACACTGAAGAAAGTGCTAATTTGAAGCATCCAAGCATGCAATCAATCTTTTTTGACTTTTGGTAGTTAACATCTCTTTGCACTGTATATTTCATCATCTTTGTCTAATGCAGTCTTCGATATTCTCATGATGCTTTTTTAACCAGTGAATAAAAGCAATGCTAGCACAGCAATGAATGATGAAGGATGAATATGTGCTGTAATAACCTTGAATCTGTGGCAGAATATCATGCTGTGGGATAGATTTACATAACAAAAGATGTCTCTTGGAGCTCAATCACAAGTAAACAGAGCCGAAGCGGTAACATGGCATTTCACAGGCCACATATTACAAGTACATTAATAGATGACGACACTCCTCAATCTGGGACTACATCAATGAGCCCTGGGATAAACACATATTAGCACCTGTGATACCAAGAGGCTCTCTCACACTGTGGCTAACTTAAGCATTTACCTGCAGGATCCTCTGAATTACTGAGTGTGGTTGTATTTGTTGCCACACACCACGGCATATTGTTTTTTTCCCTAGCATTAGCAGAGCAACTTGGTGATGTAAAGATAGCAAGACCACAAATCGACATGCTGATAGCTGCAGATTGTCTTAACACTGTGCTTTGTCTTCATGGCACATGCATGCAGTAAAAGGTCATTTAGGTCCCTAATTAATCCATGGGGAAATTATATCTGCTAGAGAAGGAGAGACTGAATGAGAAAGTTTGCTAACCTCACAAATGCAGCATGATGTATTTGAAATACTGGATTAGATTGGACTGATTCTGGCCAAAGTCTCTTTAAGGCAATTCACTTTATTCACCAGCCATCTTTGTATGTCTCTGGCAGCTATTTTTTAAATTTTATATATTTGTTAGAAGAAAGTCAAAAATTTCCAAAACTCATTTCAGTGACAGATTTTACATTTGGAATCAGATCTGACAATAATTTCATAAATGTTCTTCTTTTGCTCATTATGACAAAAAAAAAAAAAAAAAAA